ATACTGTATATGTATAATATATATATATATATATATATATAATTAAGTACATGTTGCACAAGCAAGTCTATTTATACGATGTCTACTGTGTCTATTGGCATTTCTATCGCATTTCACATCAATGCCGCTGGTTTGATCGATCGCTTTGCTAGCATTTAGCCTTGTACGCATCAATTCATCAATAGCCACTGAGGCAAGTATCAGAATAACGAGCGGGACTGAAAATATTCGATCCAATGGCATCTCACCTGTTTTAGACACCTGCTATTACGCATTTACAGTGAGAAGTAGCCAATAGCGGTGCTGAGACGGTTATTTTAGTATGACTTTCAATGTATTTCACATGTTCGATTGCTTCACTATTGTTAAATTCCGTTACACGCCCATTAGCAGTTGAGTTGTTTAGTGAGGCAAGTAGTGTTTTGACGGGTAGAGCTGCAGCGGTTAGCTTTCTTATTTCATTTAATCTGTATGTCACTCGTTCATTGCTCGACTATTACTAGAGCTCGTTTGCACACCCAACCACAATTTGTATTTCGAGCTTTAATTGTTAGCATGTCTATCTCACTTACTATGAATATCACAGGTTCGATTGCTTCCCTATCATCACAACTCTCTAACACACCACCCAGCAATCGTCTACTGGGGTCAGTAGCACGTTTGCCGATTCGCAGGGGGACTTGGAGCATTCATCTCTCTGTAGTCGTGTCCGTCAATAGTCCAATGACCCGTGTAACGCATCACCTCCTTTCTCCCGATCACACAGATGGCAGCCCTAGAGCCGTACTTGATCTTCACGCCCTCCGTACTGCGCTACTATGTGCACCACTTCGCCAGTGTCTACATACAACTTCTCGCCGGCATCCTGATGTATATCGAGCAAGCCAAGTACTTCATTCGCCTGTGTATGGGGTTAGCCACCTTCAAACTCACCCACCTGATTGTGTATGCTGAGATACCCGTATTAGTCTATCTCAGTGGATCGGTGTCTGCGGGCGTGTGGCTGTGGGCAGTGATACAGGCAACGGCCAGTTGGGTCTTCATCAACCTGAGCTTTGTTATCACCACCCACCATCACGACGAGTATGTTCTTATTTTCGATCAGTATGTCCTTTCTTTCGATGAGTATGTCCTTTCTTTCCATCAGTATGTCCTTTATTTCGATCAGTATGTCCTTTTTTCGATCAGTATGTCCTTTCTTTCAATATCTGGGTGGCTTGTACATGGTGTCTATTATTACCGCGCAGCACACTACAGGAGTGTTAAATTGGCGGGGTTTAAAAACTGGAGCTGGAGGTATTCTGTGGCTAGTTGATACAAGCTACTACCAGGTGTGACGTTTTTAATCTTAGCATCGGTACCACCACACCATCACGATGAGTACGTTCTTCCCTATGCCTACCTGTGGGTGGCTTGAACGTTTTGTTCATTGTCTCAGTGGATTACTCTGTGGTGTTTTGTATCCAGAAAATAGTTTGGAAGAGATACATACGACACCTATAGCTACGGAAGCTTGCAGTGTACTTCATCATAAGCCTTTATTGGATGACGACCATACATGAATACACTATAGTACTTTATAGACCAACTCGATCCGTTGTCTTGTGACGGTACCTGCTAATCCCTAGATATACAAGGGAAACGTCTGATTCCCAGTTGTATCGGTCACATTGAGTACCGAACCGCTCATACACCGCGTGCTGCCGATTCACCCACCCGTCCCTCCCTCAGAATCTGGCATCAGGGCGACACAACCATCTCCGGGGACTTCGGACTGCTGCAAGCCGAGGCCACGCGCGACCGATTGGAGTGTGTGCACTCACCCTTTGCCATGTACATGTTTGGCGACCACGTGCTGCATCATCTGTTCCCGTGTGTGGACCATGGTTACCTGGAGGTGTTGTATCCCGTACTGTTGCAGACGCTTGAGGAGTTTGGGGTAGAGGCTACGCTTCTGCGGTACTCGATGTGGGAGAGTGTGAAGGGGTTTGCCCGGCAGACGGTGAGAGAATACGAGCACCACATAAGCACTATTGCTCGCCGGTCTAAGGTTGAGTGAGCTATGTGCGTGTAGGGTTTTGCATGTGTATGTATGCAAGTATGTGTATGTATCGGAAGGTATGGGTTGTGCTCATATGCTGATGGATGCGTGCACAACACATGCCTAGTATGGTAGATATATTGTTTCTGAGCGCACGGATGTGTTTGCATCTGTCGCAAAACAGATCGATTTACTTAATTTGTATATACATATGTAGCGGCATTGCTAGTTGCTTGTGACACACAGTCACAACAGGCGACTTCAATCAA